GCTCAGCCTGTAATCCCGCGCCTTTGGGAGGCTGAGGTGAGTGGATTGCCTGAGCTCCCACCCCCACCCAACACTAACAAGGAGCTGCCCAAACATCTTGGTGTCAATGGAGGTCAAACAGGAACTATGACTCCTACCTCCCTCCACCTGGTAGTAACAAGGCGATGCCCACCCACCAACCTTATCCCCTCCACAGTAGTGTCAGAGAAGAACCAGACTCTCTTAACACAATACAAAAAGGTACAGGTTTCAATTGAAAATCACTTATCATACCAAGAAACAGGAAGATGTCAAACTGAATAAGATAACCCATAAATGCCAAAACCAAGATATCAGAGATGACAGAATTAGCTAACAATGATTTTGAGGTATCCATGATGAATTTGCTTCAAGAAACAATTATAAACGAATAAAAAATGAAAGTCTTAGCAAAGAAATAAAAGATATAGGCTGGGCGCGGTAGCTCAAGCCTGTAATCCCATCACTTTGGGAAGTGAGGCAAGAGGATTGTCTGAGTCCAGGGATTTGAGACCAGCATGGGCGACTTGGTCTGAAATAGCAGGAGAAAGAGGATAAGGCTAAAAAAAAAAACCTTGAAGAAATAATGACTAGAAGATATGAAAGACTTCCGGCAAGATGGCGACAGGGCAGCCTGGTCTATGAAACCCTCTGCAAAGGAGAACGCAGAGGGTCTCTGGCTCTCTCCCCAGAGGCTGCAGATCCCAACATCAGCAGCCTCCTCTTCACACAGAGCTCGGCTGTGGCCAACGCTGGGGCATCGCAGCAGTCTGGACAGCCACTGCAGCCGCAGACACAGCAGCCGAAGCACCGCCACGACCTCCTTGGCAACCATAGCGCATCGCATCACTGGTGCCTGAGGCGATCCACGACTTCAGTTCTTGAAGCTCTTGCAGGCAAGATCTGCTGGGATCGCTGCCACCATGACGTCCAGCCGGCCGTGGGTCTCCTTCCGTGTGCCCTGAAGCAGGCTCCCATCTCCGGCCTCTGCTCAACTCCTGTCTAACTCCACCCGCTCTGGGGCAAGCAGCTGAGATATCACCACCTGCTGGCGATTCAAAGTAACAACACCGAAATGGGAGAAACAAGCTTGAAAAACAGGCCAGAATTGAGTGGTGAACTGAGGGTCATCTGAACTGTCCTTCACAGCAGGCCAGGGGCAACTGACCCTAACTGCGAACTAATTTACAAGCTTGAAAAGACAGCTAGAAATCAGAGCTGAAAGGACATTGGACTTAAACGAAAAGTCTCAGAGTGTGCTCGATTGGTTCTGTTAGTTTAATGACTTAATTCTATTCCTACTGTTTTGTTCCTTTTTCTTTTCTTTCTTTCTTTTTCTTTTCTTCTTCCTTTTCTTCTCTTTTCTCCTCTCTGTAAACCATATCTTTGTATAGAGGAACAGCACACCAATAAGGTGGTTGGTTAGCTTGCATGTTAGCATCATTGTATGTTTTATTTTTTTTTTGTATGGGAGTTGGTTAGTCTGTAGCCGTGGTCTATTGTTTTTATCTGTTTCAGTTTAGGTCTCTCTCTCCGTTTGTTGGTACACTCATCTGTTTCCCCCTTACGCCTCTCTCTCCACCCCCCTCTTCGCTCCACTATCTGCTCCATTCTCTTCCCTCTGCTAACCACATTTTATTTCAGGGAGTAAACCTACAGCCCCACTGCATGGACAGATTCCAAGGCAGTGAGAAGTGGGTTTCAGATTATCCATACACCTGTCAGCAAATACCAGGACCTGCAGATAGATTTTTGAATCACAGCTCCCCGCTTAAGTAAATCTCAAAACTGCAAAAAGGACCACCCCCAACCTACAGTGCAACTCCAGAATTGAACAAAGTAAGAGGGCATACATAAAGAATAGGAGATTGAACAAACAGAAGTAAAAGTAATCCCTCTACCCCTGAATAACAGAATTAAAGAAGACGGTGACATGGAGGGAAGTAAAAAGTAAGGAGGGGGAAAAAACTGGACAAATGAAGAAAAACCCAAAGAAGAATATAGGTCTCACACAGACCCCTGGGAGATCAGACACTGCGAAAACAGATTCCAGAACACAAACAATGAAGAGCCTCCAGAATGACTGGTCACATGCAACAAATCCAGACATCAAGACATTAATAAAGAGAATTTTAAAAATTGAGTAGAGACAAGAGGAAAATAGGAAGGAGCTGATGTCAGAAATAACAGCAGTAAAGAATACTGTGATGGAACTAAATAACAAACTAATAAACATGGAAAGCAGAATTAGCCAAGCAGAAGAAAGAATCTCAGAGCTCAAAGACCAAAACACAGAACTAACCCAAACTGTCAAAAGCATAGAAAAGCTCAAAAAGACAGAACAAAACCTTCAAGAGATGAATGATCACTTCAAGAGACTGAACCTAAGAGTAATTGGCCTTCCTGAGGCAGAGAGAGAAACAGAGGCCACACTGGAACAAACATTTCATGAAATCATTCAAGAAAACTTCCCTCATCTCATCAAGGATGAAAAAATTCAAACACAAGAGATTCAGAGAATCCCTGCAAGACAACAAATGAGAAGAACAACTCCCAGACACATAATAATTCGTCTAAACAAAGTAGGTATAAAAGAAAAAATCCTAAAGGCTGCAAGAGAAAAAGGTCAGACTACGTACCAGAGAAGACCAATTAGAATAACAGCAGATTTATCTACAGAAACCCTCCAGACTAGGAGAGCTTGGAGCCCTATCTTCAAAGTTCTAAAAGATAAACAATTTCAACTGAGAATAACCTACCCAGCCAAGCTGAGCTTCATCAGTGAGGGAGAATTGAAATCTTTCCCAGATATTCAATACCTAAGAACCTACGCTGCCACAAGACCACCTCTACAAGAAACACTTAAGAAAGCATTGAACACAGAAGAAAAGGAAAAAAGAACAACAACGTTCTTCACAAGAGTACAGGCAAAAGATTAAAAACACACACGATCCAACTCTAAAACCAAAAGAAAGACAACACACAAACAGGAAGAACAACAACTCTGTAAGAACATTATGATAATAGGGCTCAACTCTCACATTTCAATAATTAGTTTGAATGTGAACGGACTAAATGCCACTGAAAAGACATAGAATGGCAAAATGGATAAAATATCAACAGGCAACAATCTATTGCCTTCAAGAGACTCACCTCACTAGAAAGGACACTCACAGACTCAAAGTAAGAGGATGGAAAACAAATTTTCAGGCGAATGGAACACAAAAGAAAGGCAGAGTCGCGATCTTAATTTCAGACAAAATACCCTTTAAGCTATCAAAAATTTAAAAAGATACAGAAGGCCACTACATAATGATAAAAGGTTCAATCCATCAATAAGAACTATCCATCCTAAACATATATGCACCAAACATAGGAGCACCAACTTTCATAAAGCATGGTAAACTAAAAAAAGATATCGACTCCAATACCATCATAGTTGGGGACATTAATACCCCACTCACAACCCTAGACAGATCATCAGAACAAAAAAATCAGCAATGAGATCTGAAACCTCAATGTGACTCTTGATCAAATGGACTTAATTGATACCTACAGAACCCTCCATCCAAAGACCACAGAATACACATTCTACTCATCACTGCAAGGAACGTACTCTAAGATCGACCACATACTTGGCCATAAATCAAGCATAAGCAAATTTAAAAGGACTGAAAGGTTACCATGCACCTTCTCGGACCACAGTGGAATAAAAATAATCATTAACACCAACAAGGTCCCCCCAAAACCCACAAAGACATGAACACTAAACAGCATGATGCTAAACAACTCCTGGGTCAATGATGAAATCAAAACAGAGATTGAAAGATACCCGGAAACAAATGGAAATGAAGAAACATCTTACCAAAGTCTCTGGGATGCCATGAAAGCTGTAGTAAGAGGGGAATTTATATCCCTACAAACACACATGAAGAAAATGGAAGGATCATAAATTAACAGCCTAAGAAGCCACCTAAAAAAGCTGGAAAAGCAAGACCACAAAAACCCTAATTTCAGCAGAAGAATCCAGATCACCAAAATAATAGCCCAAATCCAGGACATAGAAGACAAAAAGACAATACAAAAAAATCAATGAAACAAAAAGCTGGTTCTTTGAAAGGATAA